CTTCAACAGAAGCTTAAGTTGTTAAAACTTATTCTAAAACTTTGGAATGCTAATGTCTTTGGAAATGTCACTGAGGGTTTTACTGATGAACGTTATAGGCCTGAATTACAAGCTCATTTTAATTTATCTCATGCATTGTTAGCTCAAAGAAAAACTACAGGTGGATAAAACTCGGTCAGATTGATTTAAGTTGAAGCTTGCAAGCTTATCAGATAAAATGTGGTAAGCTCGTCTTTCAAGTTGGAAAGGTAAACTTCGCTTAATGGATAGACAACTCCAATTGGTGCCATGTGTTTATCAAAGCTTGTTTCTCCATAGCTTCTCAGTTTATCAATGGCCCGTTTGCCTTTTAAATCATCTTTCTGCTTGTGCACGAAATTTTATTTGGTCAGAGGACTTGGCTTCACGAAAGCTAGTAACTATTGACTGGAGCATGGAGTGTGGTCCTAAGCATGAAGGTGGCCTTGGTCTTCGTGATTTGACTACTTTGAACTTTACAACTTTGATTAGTTTTGGCTACAATGCTTTACAATCCTCTTCTCTATGGGGTTCATTCGTTCGTCAACGTTTTTCTCTTGCACCTTATAAAAAACAAGATACCTTTTTATGGTCTTCTATGTGGCAAAAGTTGAAGTGTGCTTTGCCTATTCTGAATAAAAATAGTCATTGGGTTATTGGTGAAGAGAAGTTTCCTTTTGGTTTGACAAATGGTTGGATAGCCCGATTATTGGTTGTTCATTATCTTCGATCATTGCACCTACAGTTCTTCCTAGGGTTTCAAATGTTATTGAAGCTCAAAGTTGGTCTTTGCCAAATTATTGTGTAGATTTATTATGTAGTGCAGTAGATTCTACGTTTACCTTTGCCATTAAATGAAAATGATGACAAATTGATCTAAAAGCCTACATCTACTGAGAAATTTTCCTTTTCTTCTGGCTATCATCTTATTCGACGAAAACATAGTGATTGTGCTTGGGCAAAGGTTATTTGGCGACATTTTATCCCACCTCAATGGTCTATTTTGGCATGGCATCTTTTTCATGATAAACTTCCTACCGAACGTGCACTACAACGACGTGGTATTTCTTTAGCATCCATTTGTTGTTTTTGTCGTAATTCTGAGGAATCTACTATTCATCTTTTCTTCGGTTGTCGGATATCTTAGCATGCCAACTTGGTACCTCTTTGTCTTTTTTTCATATTCTCTGGTTTCTTTTTGGGATGCCTACATACATAAGCCTTTTTTTCAACAATAGATTTTGCGGGTCTTTATACTATTTTGGATATTTGGAAAGCTCGAAATAAGTTTATGTTTTGCTTGTCCATCAATTATGGGATCCTTCATGGTGGGAAATTTATTCCTGGTTATTCCCAAGGTTTTGACACTCATATCATTTCTTCTTTGGGGATCCAACCTATCTCTCGCAAGGCACCAACTATTCTTTACGTGCTTTGGTCTTTTCCTTGGTTTCCTTGGATTAAACATAATACAGATGGTTGTAGAGTTTACATATCAGCTGGGTTGGCATTGCCTTTAGTTGAAAAGTGACTCTTCTAGTGTCATTTCTACTCTCCAATCGACTGATTTTGATCCTCCCTAGCCTCTTCATACACAATGGTCTATTTGTTTAGACCGCATTCGGAAGATGACTTTCTATGCCTCTCACACATATCACAAAGGAAATGTTGTTGCTGACAATTTTGCTAACATGGGCTTGTCTTCACCAACTTTAATATGGCATGATTCCCCTCCGTTGGCGGCTCGTGCTGCTTTGTTTTTAGACTATACTGGCTTTTCTGGCTACTGCTTCACAAATTAATTTGCATATCGGCATACATGTTTGACTCACTTTCTTGGTTTTTTTTTTTTTCTTAACCTTGTGATGTTGCTTAATTTGTTTTGCAGGTTTAGTCATTTAGGTTTGGTTTTAGAGGGGATAGGTTTCATGTCCCCCCTTTTTTTCCTTGTATTTTAATTATTTGTGTTTCTAGAAAGGTAAGTTTTATGTCCCCCCCCCCCTTCTTTTTCATGTATTTTTATCCATTTTGCTTATATTATGAGGGGATAGGTTTATGTCCCCCTACTAGGTGTAACTTCTTTTTTTATATCAATAAAATTTGCCTCATACCGTCGAGGTTTTATAAAAAAAACAACAAAAAAATTACATAAAATGTGGTTATTGATATCTATGTTACATTACATATGCATAAGCATCACAAAGCAAGAAAAATAGTGTTGTGTTCAAGTGTTTGGTAGTGTTGAGTTGTGTACTTATTCAATCTTGAAACCTGTATTTGTTAGGCGTAGGGGAAAGGGCTTGAGTATACAATTGGACGTTGGGGAAAGTACCTATATATAAAGTGGAAATTATGAATTAAAGTATGAAAATTAGGCTTAAGAGATGAACGGGAGTTGACTTACATTCTAAGGTATTCAGAGCCAAGTGGTTTAAGCATGGTATGAGATAAGCAAGCTTGGGAGTCTCAAGTATGTGTTAGCGAGATTAGAGGGGAGTGAGTACATTCATCCATCTCATTTGCATATATTAATTTTATGCATTTGCAAGAATTACTCATTTCAATTATTATTTTGTTAGTACTTTCACTTGTGAAGTAATCTGTGCCCTAATGTAATTCCGTTGTGTATTCAATAATTTTTATATGGTAAATTCAAGCATTTATTACGTAAAAGTTATTAACCAGTGTTGTCTGGTGTACTTTGTTTTAGTTACAATAATATTAAATTTCATTTTTTCCAACCATGTCTTGGTTATAGAATTTATTTCTATAGCTAAGATATGGCTCACACCCTAACTCGTGAATAGTCTTTATTCATGGGTTGGGGTGTGATATAGATTTTCCAATTGTTGACGTGCAAGACTTTTCGAGCTAAATTCTTTACTATATTGTAGATGGTTGTTGGACTCCCCATCTATTCTACATTCATGGCTAGCCCCCATTTGGAATGATATTTCTTCTACCGGACTTCCTTCAGTGTCTAGGATTGATGACAAATTAACTGGTTTGGATGTCCGATTCTAATTGTGATATTTCTTTATCTTTGACTTATGATATTAAGTGCAGTAAACAACCAGCAGTTCAATGGGATTGATGGGTTTGGCACTCTTGATTTCATCCTTGTAATTATGTTATACTGTGGAAGTATTTAATGGTAAGATCTTAACTGATAATCTCATGTGGTGAATAGGTTTTTCTGTAGTGTCTATGTACTCTCTTTGTTGTGAACGTATGAAAACTGGTTTGCATATTTTCTTAGTGTACTCTTTTGCACATCAAATTTGATCTACTATTTTGGACTTAATTAGAGTTCAATATATTTTTCAATATATTTTTAGCTTTTTCTCCTTTACAAAAAAGTTGGTGCCGAAGTAAAGCTACTTTGTTGGAGTGTGGTTGGATTTGGTTTTTATTCTATTAAGCATGCTTGTGACGCTCTTCGTTTTCAAAAGGAGGTCGCTTCCATCAATTTTGTTGTACGATCTATTAAATTCCAACTCCTTGATAATGATTCTCTCTAATCTGGCTTTATGAAGAATTTTGTGGACGATCAATTTTGATTTCATAGACATTCTTCTAAGGCTTCAAAATTATTGGGGCGTTGTGCCACCTTCCCTCTCATTCTTGATCAAAGTAAATATTAACGGTGATGCAAGAGGTTCCCCTAATTGGCTGCATTTGGTGGTATCTTTCAAGATTTTATGATTTTCGGGTTCAATATGTTTGTCCTCTTCTTTGGATGCCGAATTACATGATGTTATTCATGTTGTATCTTTAGCTTGGGATATAGATATGCATTCATTATGGATTGAGAATGATTCCTCACTAGTTGTTCACCTTCTTTGACACCAGTCTCATGGAGGATTTTGGTTAGTTGGCATAACTATCGAGTTTCATTATCCTCCATGCATGTTCAGATTTCTCATATTTTAAACTAGTTTTCTAGACTTTTTACCTAAATTCTAACTTGAAAAAAATAGTGCGATTGTAGATGTTCTTATGGGCGAAATGCAATTATGTGCTCATAGTCAGCCTGTTTATATTTGTCTAAAGAAAAATGTTGGCATGTTTGAATTTATTTTTTTTTTTTTTTAATTTCTCTTCATAGCATGTCAACGTGATGGTGAAAAACTCATGTATAATTCACCACAAGCACAGTCAAACCTAAGGGACTATGACCACAGATTATAGTTACTCCTTGTAAACTTAGGAAACATTCACAGATATCTCTGCCTTGTTCATGCAAACATAGTTCAACAATGGCAGTTAGCTCAGAGGTTTAAACTTACTTTATTGTGAAAGTTCAAACATGTCATCCCATTATTGCTATTGCATGAAACAGGAGAAAAATAATAGATGTTTGCTTTTTCTTGTGTGAGGAAAAGGTGTCAACCTAAATATAAATATTATGGAGCATCATCCGAAAGCTTAAATGATAAATGATTTTATATGAGCTGAGAAACCAGTGATGGGGAAACACTGCATGGACATCGCCTAACTAATCCGGCACTTGCCAGTTTTCTACATCGCAGTCACAATTTAATACAGATTCATGTCAGGGACGTGCAAAATAAGATGAACTAACTAATCACATAGATCATCATAAATGATTTTTTATTTAAATGATCAAGCATAGAGGAAGGATGGCTGGAACTTTCTATGTGTTAGATATCAATGAATGAATGCTTAATTAAATTATAATATTGCTACTCTAAGATAATACATGCTAAATATATCACTTCTTGAGTTGGAATGCTGGAGTAGGAAGAGACATGGCATAGACATTCCTAGGGAAACATATAGATCCAATCGAAATCATTCCTTTTGGCTAGTGATTGTAGTGGATGAGATTCCATGTCCCCTTCCTTAACCAACACTATATTAAGCATACGCATATGCGAAAAACTCATCAATCACAATAATACATAACTACAAAGTCTTCTCTCCTATTTTCTCTCAATTTCTCAAATCACAAAGAAGAAATGGCTTTCCACACTCGCTCTAACAGCTTCCCCTCAAGGCCACACCTGATCGCTCAAGAAGTTGATGAACTTTTGTGCAGATTGAGGTCTTCCGAGGCCACCTCCACATCTTCATCATCAATTACCCGCAAGCTAAATGGTTTACAAGATTGTGTTGATTGGTTGCTTCAGTTGCCCTCACTCAGCAAGCCTTGGCCCAAGAGCAGAACGAAATGGACTAACGAGCTATTAGATGGCTCTATCAGACTGTAGGATGCTTGTGCCACTGCCAAGGATGTCGTCTTGCAAACCAATGAATGCATATTGGATCTTCAATCAATCTTACAAAGAACACGAGGGGGTGAATCAGGAGCTCTCACAAGTGAGGCGAACAAATCTCTAAGCTCCAGGAAGATTGTGAAAGAGGCAATACAAAAGGCTTTGAAGAATCTGAAGGGCATCGAAAACCGATCCACCTACTCTGCCCTCAACAAGGACCAAGAGGCTATTGTCATTGTTAGCAAGTTGAGAGATGTTGAAGCAGTCACCGCCATGGTGCTTGAATCAGTACTGTCCTTCATCTCCGGGCCAAAGTCAAAGCCAAGCAGCTGGTCATTGGTCTCCAAGATGATGCACCAAAACAAAGTAGCTAGTGACGAAGAAACATAAATAAATGAATTTGCTGAAGCAGATGCTGCATTCAAGACAAGCAAAATCTAATCCCCAAAACCAGCTTGACAATCCGGAGTCGTGCATTCAATATCACGAAGAACGACTTGAAAGCCTGTATAGGCAGTTGATCAAAACAAAAGTCTCATTTCTCAACGTCCTAAACTACTAGATTTAGATTTTAAATTTCGCACATGAACAATATACATGTATACATCATCTAATATCAAATTGATACATTCTATTGAGTAAATTTTTACCCTCTCCTATTTTAAGTATTCATTGAAGAACAGTAATATGTTTTGAGAATTTTGTGGAATTATCAGGATTGCACTAATTATATGCCCATTTGAATTTTTCAAGTTAATAGTAAGCAATAATTTTCTGTGTTACAAAAATAATATTAGGGCACACTCTTCTGCACATTGTGCTTTTCTAGTTAACATTCTAGGTCACACTAAACCCACTTCCCATGCTCAAGCTATCCACGATCCAATTTGGCAGTGAGCTATGCAAACAGAATCAGAGGCTCTACAACATAGTGACACTTGGAGTATATAGACTGTAAGTGTCTATAAAATCAAAATACAAATCTGACAACACCATTGCCCGCTACAAAGCCCATCTTTTTGCCAAGGGTTACACTCAAGTTGAGGGCTTTGATTACCATAAATGTTTTCTGCCCACCGCCAAACTCACCACCCTTCGGTGTCTTCTCAATATTGCATCTGCCCGTCATTGGTATATCCACCAATTAGATGTCCAAAATGCTTTTCTTCAGGGTTATGTGCATGAAAAAGTTTATATGGAACCGTCTCATGGTCTTCATGATAGGGGGAGAACGTTGTATGTTGGCTCAACAAGACTCTCTATGGACTCAAATAGGCATCCAGAAACTATTTTTCCACCTCCTTTGATACCATTCAGAGAGCTGGTTATCATCAATCAAAAGCGGATTATTCTTTGTTTACCAAGACACAAGGCACTTTATTTATTGCAGTTCTTATATGACGCAGGAGGGGATCAAGGGTCTCGAGGAGACAAGGAAATAGATACCTAGGAATCACTCAACCAGGGGCAATGGATTCACTCGATATTGCTAATCGTGGATTCACTCAACACGACCAAGTCTAATACTTAATTTAAGAGGAAAAACTCACTCTCTTCTTAAACTCATTATAAAGAATACATCTTGAGCTTACAATGTGATGAATGTTTGATGTATATTTCATATCTGAAACCATTACACGATGCAACATATATGGGAGAAGAAAAACGTGAAGAAGAAAGGAGGACCATGGCAGCTAAGCCAACATAATGATGAACCATGGCAGCTAAGCCAACATAATGATGACCTCCAATCCCACTAATCTTAATCTATTATCTAACTTTAGCTTTACAGTGAAAAAGGGCCGAAAGCAATGGATAAAACAATAGATGATGGAGGACCGAAAGCAACAGCTAAACACCAACAGCAGCTGAGTTGTTATCCACCCTACTTTTAATAATGACACATCCAATACTCCCCCTCAAGCTGGATCCAAAAGGTTGATAGATCCAAGCTTGCCAAGAAGAAGCTGAAACTGATGAGAGGCCAATGATTTTGTGAATAGGTCCGCAAGTTGATCTGAGCTCCTTACAAAATGCGTTTGGATAACCTGAGATTGAACTTGTGTACGAACATAGTGACAATCGACTTCAATGTGCTTGGTTCTCTCATGAAAAACTGGGTTGGAAGCAATGTGCATTGCAGCCTGATTGTCACAGAAAAGGGACATGGATTGATGATTGAAAACACCTAAGTCACACAGTAAACCTTTGAGCCAGATTAGTTCACACGCAGTAGATGCCATTGCCTGATATTCTGCCTCAGCACTGGATCTTGCAACGACAGTTTGTTTTTTGCTTTTCCATGAGACAAGGTTGCCTCCCACAAACGTGCAAAATCCCGTTGTAGACTTACGATCAATGGAATTGCCAACCCAATCTGCATCACAATAACCTGTAATCTGAGTGCTTGCATTTTTCTTCATGATTATACCACGTCCCACAGAACCTTTTAGATACCGAAGTATTCTTTTGACTAGGTTAAAGTGCTCCATCGTGGGAGAGTGCATAAATTGGCTAACAATACTGACAGCATAGGTAATGTCGGGCCTTGTGATGGTCAGGTATATCAACTTACCAACCAACCGCTGATAATAACTTATGTTTGGAAGAGATTGACCCTCTAAGCTGACCTTAAGTTTAATGTCAAGAGGTGTAGGGACCGGTTTAGCATCACTCATGTTTGCTTCCTTAAGGAGATCCAGAACATATTTGCGCTGGTTAAGGAAGAAGCCCTTGTGAGATGTAGCCATTTCGATGCCAAGGAAGTATCTCAGAACACCAAGATCTTTTATTGCAAAGCATTGCTGAATGGAGTGCTTGAGTTCTTTGATTTCTTCAGGGTTATCTCCGGTGATGATCAAGTCATCAACATACACAAGAACAACCAATGTACCAGCGGTGCCTGAGCGTACAAATAAAGAGGAGTCCGCATTGCTTCTTCCAAAACCAACACTGATAAGGACTGAATTGAGCTTAGCATACCAGGCTCTCGGTGATTGTTTAAGACCATAAATTGATTTGTGCAGTTTACACACAACATCCTGTTTATGACTTTGAGAGTGACCCGGTGGTAATCTCATGTAGACGTCTTCTTCAAGCTCACCATGTAAGAAGGCGTTTTTTACATCCATTTGATACATAGGCCATCCTTTGTTGACAGCCACAGACAAGAGTACGCGCACTGTGTTCATCTTTGCAACGGGGGCAAAGGTTTCCTTGTAATCCACATCAAATGTTTGAGTGAAGCCACGGGCCACTAATCGTGCCTTGTGTCTTTCAATAGACCCATCCGAGTTGAATTTAATCTTGTATATCCACCTGCAGCCTACTATCTTCTTTCCTTTGGGCAGTGGCACAATGCTCCAGGTTTTATGTTGATCGAGTGCATGCAGTTCATCCTGCATTGCTTGCTGCCACACTTGGGATTGGTTAGCTTCTTGAAATGATTGAGGCTCTTCATGCGCAGATATATTACTCAAATAGGCAGTGTAATTAGGTGACAACTTTTGATAAGAACAGTAGTTGGATAAGGGGTGCTTGAGCTTGTACGTAACAAAGTCTTGCAGTCTTGCTGGTGGGTGCCTCTCACGAGTTGGATTTCGTCGAGGTATGGTAGGAAGAGACTCTTCTGAAGGTTCTTCAGGACCAATACTACGTAGAGTTTCATCTTCTACAGGCATGTTGCTGTCGTCATATGAATCCGGTTGATTTGGAGCCACAAGATCCATTGTGTGAGTTTGATCACCCGCATTGTTGAGTATCTCAGTCCTTGGCAGTGGAAACATGTCCAAGATAATCTCCCCCTGACTTGTACTATCCAGAGACTTACTGTAATAAGAGTTAGTTTCATGAAATTGAACATCCTTTGAAACAATTAATCTCTTAAGTTGTGGATTATAACACTTATACCCTTTTTGTGTGGACGAGTAGCCAAGGAAAATGCATTTAGTTGCCCTAGGATCAAGTTTGTCTCGATGTAATGACTGAACATGAACAAAACAGATGCATCTAAAGACTTTAAGGTGAGACAAGTCCACCTTTCTGTTCTTGACTATCTCCATTGGGGATTTAAACCCCAAAACCCTACTAGGTAATCTGTTGATCAGGTAAGCTGCTGTCATGACGCTTTGAGACCAAAAACGTTTTGGTACATTCATTTGTAACATCAATGCCCTAGTTTTTTCAAGGAGATCTCGGTTTTTTCTCTCGGCAACACCATTTTGTTGGGGTGTGCCAACACAGCTAGTTTGATGTATGATGCCATTGTTGCTTAAATATTGAGTCATGACTTGGGACATGTATTATGTGCCATTATCAGACCTTAGGGTTTTGATTTGAGAAGAAAAATGATTTTTGACAAGGTTGTGAAAGTCCTTAAACACTTCCATCACCTCACTTTTTGATTTTAACAAATATAACCAGGTGGCTCTTGAATAATCATCAACAAAAGTTATGAAATATTTATAACCATCAAAAGATTCATTTGTTGGTCCCCATATATCAAAGTGTACAAGCTCAAAAAGATGAGAAACTCTAGACATCGAAGACCCTAGAGGTAGTCTTGTTGCCTTTGACAAATGACAAGTTTCACAGTGGGTTGATTCTTTGCCTAAGTCAGGAAATAAGGTGGATAAGATAGGTTGAGATGGATGAGCTAGTCGTTGGTGCCACAAGGTGGAAGCTTGAATGGTGGTATGGATGGACTTTGACTTGGCATGGAACCCACATGAAGAGCTTTTTGATATGTAATAGAGACCATCAAGGTAAAACCCCTCACCAATCGTCCTCTTGGTTATACAATCCTGAAAAATGACAGTTTTTGGTGAAAAAATGGCCAAACAATTTAAGGAATTTGTGATTCTTCCCACTGAGAGAAGTTGAAATGGAAATGATGGGACATATAGGGCCATAGACTCTATTTGATCAGATATCAAGTGGATTTTTCCCTTTCCTACAATCCTAGCACCTTCACCATTAGCAACAGATACATGTGAAGGATTATGTAGTTTCTCAAATCTATGTAACTTTGACATTTGATTAGTCATATGGTCTGTGGCACCAAAATCTACAACCCAAAAATCATGTAACTCATTTATTTTAAGAGCAGTTTGGAAAACAGTTACGATACCTTTCAAGTCTGTCTGAGGTACATAATCAGCATCAGCTAAAAAACCTGCAAATTTGCCCATCAATGCAGTAGTACTTCCATCTTCATGATCAACCGATCCATCCTCTTTTCCCTTCTTTTGTTGGAGATACGCTGCGAACTCATTTATAAGGATGGCAGGATTTGCAATGAACTGTTGATAGGTATCAACATTGTTGATAGATGAAGATGTTGCAGTGTTGGCACGAGGGTGTGCTCGACTTGTCTTTGGTGCGGATTTATCCTTCATGAAGTCAGGTTTGAGTTCTGGATGTAGGATCCAGCACTTGTCTCTCACATGCCTGATGTTGTCACAATGTAGGCACTTTAAATGAGGGTTTTTTCCTTTATATCTTTTTTCATTTGTCAGGTAAGCCCTAGCTTCTGTCACGTTGGTTTTTATACCATTGTTCATGACTTTTCTCCTTACTTCCTCACGTTGGATAGTTGCACAGATACTAGTGAAGGATGGTAGCTCCGAGTTCATGAGAATGTGACTTCTCAAATCCTCATATTCTGAGCTCAAGCTAGACAATAATTGAAAAATTTTATCTTCTTCAGTTCTTTTAAGGAGCACAGAGAGATCAGTTGTGTGAGGTCTGTACACGTCTAACTCATTCCACATGCTTCTCAAAGAACCAAGATGTTGAACAAAGCTTTTACCTTCTTGCTGTATGTTGGAGATATCCTTCTTGAGTTGAAAGATGCGAGCTGCATTGTTTTGATTTCCATACATCTCCTTCACGGTGGTCCAAAGGATGAGTGACGACTCGGAATAGCTGAAGATTTCAGCAATATTCCTTTCCATAGAATTTAACAACCATGACATGACCAGTTGATCTTTACATAGCCACCCTCCATATTCTGGAGAAGAAGCATCTGGTGCAGATTGACTGCCATTAATGAAACCGAGTTTGGATCTTCCACCGAGAGCAAGACTAACAGCCCTTACCCATGGCAAATAATTAAACTCATTCAATAATACTGAACTGAGTCTTTGGTTTGGATTGATATCCATTTCAGAAGCGCTTCCAGATGAAGAAGCAATGATACTTCCATCTGCCATTGTTTTTGAAAAATAAACACAGCAGGTTCGATATACAGAACTGGCTCAAGATGATGCCCGCTCTGATACCATGATGAATGTTTGATGTATATTTCATATCTGAAACCATTACACGATGCAACATATATGGGAGAAGAAAAACGTGAAGAAGAAAGGAGGACCATGGCAGCTAAGCCAACATAATGATGAACCATGGCAGCTAAGCCAACATAATGATGACCTCCAATCCCACTAATCTTAATCTATTATCTAACTTTAGCTTTACAGTGAAGAAGGGCCGAAAGCAATGGATAAAATAATAGATGATGGAGGACCGAAAGCAACAGCTAAACACCAACAGCAGCTGAGCTGTTATCCACCCTACTTTTAATAATGACACATCCAATACAATGCAACCTAATTAAGAGAGCCTTAATCATATTCTTTGAAGAACGAGAAGACACACCAGCTATCATAACTTTTCCGCTGCATTAGAAGGCCATGGATGATTTTTTTCTATCTGTTTGAAAACCAAATGGTTGAAGAGATTAGCTTGGTAGATTGGAATTCTCCTCCAATTTATGATGAGTATGTTGATGATGATTTGTCAAGCTCCAATGTACGTTCTTCAATGTTGCCTATTGCAAAGGCGTTAGAAAATGCAGAATTCATTTTTGAAGTTTGATTATGAGGCACTTCGTTTTCTCAGTGCTTAGAAAAAGCTTAATCCATGACATGCTAAATGGGTGTCTTGCAAATGAATACATTGATTTTATTGGTTTTGATATTTTTAATTGGAAGGCTTCTCAAGTTTTAGTTGATGTAGTCAATCAAATGAAGATTGATATAAGTTGAATTGCAAGATTTATCATGGAGCATGAATCTACCATTTCAAGAATACGAAAATATTCCAAGTATTTATTCGCGTGGAAAGGTAAAAATCAATTTTAAGATTACAACGGAGTTGAGAAAGATTTAAACTCGAGGACGAGTTTCTTCAGAGAAAAGGAGAATGATGCAGTAATCAAGGCTCTTTTGCATGTATTGCAATCTAACTAACAAGAGTCTCATGTGTATTGGAACCATCAAATATTTTAATTGAGTTTTAGAGCAACATAAATAATTAAGTAGTCATTTAAGAACATTTTAAATATTTTTGGGGTAGAGTAAAAGTCCAATTCGGACTAGAGTTTCATTGTGTTGTATTCCTTATAAATATAAAATATCATGTACTAAACTGTTGAGAAAGAAGACTTGATTAATAAAAAATTATATTTGTCTTGTGCATTTGAAGAGAGTGATTTCTCCTTCTCCAATCAAGTGTTTGGCTTAGTCATGTTGAGTGAATCCACGATTAGCGACGTCGAGTGATTCCATTAGCCCTGGTTGAGTGATTCCCAGGTTCTATCCTCCGCCTCCTCGAGACCCTTGATTCTGTCATGCATCATTATATACATTGATGGCATACTTCTTCTCAAACACTTCCGTATCAATGTCCTTGGAGGTTTGAAGTATTGTTTCGTCATTTAATATTTTTGTTCCAAGAAAGGTATTTTCATGTCTCAATGCAAATACGCACTTGATATTTTGCAAGACTTAGTACTTATAGGTGCACGACCAGACATATTTCAATGGAACAGAATCTGAAACTCACTCCCATAGAAGGAGAGCTACTGATTGATCTAACTTAGTACAGGAGACTGGTTGGCAGGTTAACCTATCTCATTGTCACAAGGCCTTATATAGTATACTTTATTCGAACACTTAGGCAATTCATGCATCAGCCTCGGAAACCACATTGGGACGCTGCCTATGTATGGTCATCATATACATCAAAGGCACTCCTGGTCGAGGTCTGTTATTTCATGCTTCTAATATGCTTTCCTTGAAAGGCCATTGTGATTCCTGTTGGAAAGGTTATCGTGCCACAATAAGATCGGTTACAGCATACAGTGTTTTTTTGTTTGAGGCCCACATGGTTTGTTGGTGGGCTATTAGTGATTTGTTTGAGGTCTGTTTGTTTGGTTGTCGATTTTTTGTGCTTCTCACTCGACTGCTTGGAGTTATGATCATATATGTTCTTTTCATACTCTCAACATCATCATGTGTGAATCGGAACTAGCTTGCCAGCCATAATCAGTTTGCCAATTCGCTAGTTCCCTAGTTCGCCAATTTGCCAATTCATCAAGTCAAGTCAAGTTCAATTAGCCAGTTTAGTTCGCCAGCATGTCCGTATAGCAACGTATGCTTTCCTGCTTGTCCGCCATGAGTTTGACGGGCATTTTGGAAAATTGGTTATTTAATTATTTGGGTTTGCTTGTTAGTTTAGGATTTGAGTCTAGCCCATTTGAATGAAGGTTTCTAGGTTTTGTTCTATATAAATATAGCGTATAGTTTAATTTGAATAATAAGTTTGTCAAGATTTAGTCCTTCGAGTTATGCAACCATCTCAACAAATTTCATAGAATTTCTTTGTTTCGTTAAGTAAAATATTATTCATAGTTTTGTATTCCCTTTTTTTGTTGCGGACTTTGATACGTCTTTGCTCGCTATTCTATATTAGATATCAAACTTGCCATCTAAATTAGTCGAATCTGATGTCTCTTACAAGTGGAAAACCACCTGCATGCCAGTGCACTAATAATATACCTTACATATTTGTACTGTTTACTTGTAATTGTTTATCTGCTAAATCACTTAATAGATTAGACAGTATTTAAGTAGTGGCAATTCAGACTCAAAAGTGAAGACAGAAGAAACTTGTTTGACAATGATATGAGAGGTATAGTTGCATTGCATTTTAAATTGTATTGCATTCTTATCTGAAGAGAACATTTCTTATGCCTTTCATTAGTTTACTTCCTTCTCATAGTTAAACTTACCGTTGCATTTTACCAGTGAATGTGTTTCAGAGTTTGGTCAGCCCCAGTTCAAAAAAAGTTCGGTTATAGCTTAATGGTTATTGTTTACTTGTAAGCTTAATTTGGCTTCACTATTTAAAGTACGTTGAGTGAAGAAAGGAAGAAATGCATTCCAACTAAAAGGTAGAATATGCATTATTCATTTAGAATCCTTAAAAAAATGGAAGGATGAGAAAGGATAAGTTTCTATCATGTAATGCCTTCTAATTCCCTCAACATAAAAAATCTAACTTCTACTTTCAATAAATATCTTAAATTTCATAAATTATCCAATTTAATTTAAGACACGAGATGAACCCTAGATGTAAGCAATATTATTCGTACAAAGCAAATGGACTTATGTACTTGTAGTAGCCCGCATTCAAAAGAGAGAAGAAAAACAGAAAAGCTCAAAGTGGAACAGAATAAAAATTCCTTAATTGCTATATTTGCAGGTCTATTTGTCCATGAGATATAAGATAACATAACGTTTCTCCCTCTCTCAAGAGAAAATGAAAAAACAAGAAAAATGAAAAAAAGAAAAAACAGAGAAGTTGTTCCTTAACTAGAAGTCTAGAAAAAAATAAAACACGTGATCACTTGCTGGATAAAGGATAACCAGATGCTCTAAATTGTGAAAAAATCTATCTACAGGAATGTTTGGACCCGAATATTATATGCCTTACCACGTTTAGGTTCAAATAACCAAATAAAGCCTAAATAATGGATTTTCGTCTAGGTTAACATTGACCAAACTTTTATCGTAACATATTGAAATAATTAGAAGTTGAGAATATTGGCCAAAGGGGTCAAGTTTTGAAGCCAAGGGCTGTTCATTTGGGTCCAAACTGTGTCTTGGGTCCAGTCCATGCTATATTTAGGCACTTGGAGCTCTGGTAGATTGTACATAGGAGGAGGAGGAGACCCCTTGATCTCCATTGCATTCTCATCCTTTTGCTCTTGTGCTATTACCAGAGCTGCCTCTTCTATTTCTTGCTTGAATACCACATGGTTTGTGGAAATTTGCGGTGTCAGATCTTCCTGTAATGCTTGGCTGCAAAATGAGATGGTATCCATGGATGTTGGAGGAGGTGATGAGTTAGGGGAAGCATGAAAGTTCTTTATCTGATCTCCCTCTATTGCTGCCATTTGCTCTAACACTTTCAAGGAAGTTGCCTTTCTATATATCTTGCACAGCACAATATCCTGCAGTTACAAATAGAAAAAGTGAAAGTTTCATTAGATCACTATCCAAGAAATGACCATAAAAATACCCAATCAAGATTACTTAAATGTGAAGGTGACACCTATCAATTTTATTTTGAGCATTAACAAGTAATTACTTTGAGATACTGGCAGTTATCAGGCAAACGATACTCGTTCATGACCCAATCGGTCTTACTTCCTCTTGGAGCTCTCCCTTTGTAAAAAACAAGAGTCTTTCTCAACCCTATGATCCTCTTTGGATTCGAGAGGCTCACAATCTTCCGGTCAGAGCCTGTGGCTTTCCAAAACCCAGTTTCAGTGGTTCTGTTAGGCCTTCCTCCACTGCCATGCTTCCTGTCCCTGGGCACAAAAAAATACCACTCCCTTTCTCCAATCTTTGACAACCCTATATAAATTAATCAATCACCCGTTAATTAATTATACATTATAACTAAGCACAACCATGCACTGATTAGTACAATTCAGACGGTATAAATGCATGAGCAAAATTTGAACCATAGACTTAGCCTACTCTCTCATTCCTTTAATATAGATAATATCATTTATACAAAAAAAAAATACATGAGCAGAAATATGTGTACGTACCAGGTAAGTCCCAAGGGTCATGATGGTAGATATTGAGAAAACCAATTATATCAAAACGCAATCTCTTGCCAAAAACCATACTTTTCAGGTAGAATTCAAGGAGTTCTTCTTCTGTGGGATGGAATCGAAACCCTGGAAGTTCGAATTCTGGGGTCATTTGTTGATCAGGATCTATGGTGTTGGCTGCCATTGGAGTTGCAATTAGTGGCTAAATTATAGTGTACTGCTTAGAGACTGTATAATTCAGAGAATGAATGTTTGGTGCACTGAAGACAACCTCTAACATGATGCATTTATAAGGGATGGGAGGTGCCCCCATGACTTCATATGTTGGACGATAGAGAGGTCTTTGGGACTCTGGGACCCACTAGACCAAGTCTTCAATTTATCAGTCCATAGAAACTGGAGTTACGTGGGGAACTGGGACCGGACAAACAAGATGGACCCACACGGTTTTCGTAAAAGTCGTGAGAAAATGGTAGCATGGACATGTGGAGTCTTTGCCAATTGCTTGACCTCTATTTTCTGGGCGTTTTGGACTTTTACTTAGAAATTCCACAAATGACGCAGATCGATCAATGCTATTTTCCAAGAAATATCTGCCACAAAATGTTTGATTTTTTGAAGCAAATGAAATGATTAAGTATGAAAAGATTGCAGAGGTTCAAACTTCAAAGGGGTGGTAAGCTAGTCCATGGTCCATTCAATGTTTTAGTATGGAGTTTGAGCAAGTCTAATTGCTTGAGTTGTCTCCCTTGTTACTTTGGAATCCAGTACTAAATAGTAATTAGCATTATCACCACAAACCTTCTAGTCAATTTGCATATTTCCTCCTCCTTTCCTTTCACATGGGCAAAGAAAAAAAGGTAAATTACATTTTAATCCTTCAAGTTTGGGGTCGATTGCAACATCATACAACATCTTTAAAACATTTAATTTCATATATTTACTTATTATTTTATTTCAATTTCATATATCCATTAGAAAATCCATTAAGTTAACCGTTAAGTGATAACGTGATAAATATAGGATCCACGTTTATGCTGATGTGGCTGCCAATTTCTTACAACCCAAACACCCCACCCTCAACTCCCCCGCAACCCCCCACCCCAGCGATCTCGACGCCATCGATACCCTCTCCTCCACTCTCTTCACCTCCTCTCCCATCCAAAAAACCCACCCGTAACCCCCCCCCAACCAACCATTTCCCTTTTCCCCTCAACCCAAACCCCCCCCATCCCACCCCATCCCCACCTCCCTTGCAGCGCCCCCTACCCCATCGATCCCTAAATCTGCTTGACGCCATCAATACAGTTATCGTGCTCAATGATGGCATCGAGTCCGATAAGTGTGGACTGACGAGATCAAGCTCACAGACCTTGGCGTTGACATTAGGGAGGATGTGGTTGAAGTCGGCCTTTACGTCGTCGAGAACCTGGGAGGACTTGCAGAGGGTGAGGAGCTGCTTGTCGAGGTTGGAACACTGGGAGATGAGGTTGTCAAGGTCCAGATCTAGGCATCGCTGGGGGGGGGGGGGGGGGGGGGGTTGCGAAGGAGGGTTGCAGGGAAAGGGAAGGGGTCAAGGAAGGTGGGTTTTTTCTTATAGATAAATAGGGTAAATTATTACATTTAAATGCATAAAAATAAAATAATATAATAAATAAATAAATAAAAACTGCCACGTGGCACAAAGTTGGCAACCATCTCATATTTACCACGTCATCACTTAATGGTTTACTTAACGGATTTTCTAACAGATGTTTGAAATTGAAATAAAATGATAAGTAAAATGTATGAAATTGAAATGTTTTAAAGATGTTGTATGAGGTTGCAATCGACACCAAACCTGAGGGGGTAAAATGTAATTTACCCAAGGAAAAAAAAGGAATAAAAGGCTTATTTGTCCTTTTAAGTTAAAACTCACATGCATTGTTTGCATGCAAATTGGAAACACAATTTAGGACCTCAAAAACTAATGCTTGTAAATGTCAAGTGTGGAGCAAAAAATAATCAAGAAAATTATGGAGGTGACAAGTGGTCTTTTGGGTTAAAAGGACAAAATTACACTCGAAGCACACCGGGATTGCTACACTCATTCAAAGGACAATAACGACTCAATCAAGGGAGAGTCAAATGTGATCAAAATGGTATTTATTCAAATCCCTCTCATCACTCCTTATCAAATCCTTATTCAAATGGTAACTCCTAAATTTCCTATTTAATTTAGGATTAATTGCCATGTTATTGCAAGATATTATTTCACATAATATCTTGCAATTATTCACCCAATTACACCATATATGGCCGGCCACTATTCTCCAAATAGAGGCAGCCACTCCCTTATAAATAGCCCTATTATTCCACTAAAAAGTTAAGCCATTTGCTACCCACAAATTCCTAACCACATTCTTTTTAGAATTTGAACTTTGGCATTGGAGATTCTTCGGCCAAAAAACCCCATTCATTGTGGGCGCATGAGGTTTTTGGCCTTAAACTTAGGTGTTATTATTTTGCAGGTGCATTTTCGTCGAAGGAGAAGATGGCAAAATTTTGCATTCACAAATTGGTGCTTTCATTGAGAGTTTGATTCACACGCTCAAAGAAAACTTTTGCATTCAAGGTTTCTAATTTCTCGCTCATTCGTAGATTTTTCGTATGTTCTTATTCCTACAATTTTTTATAAGGTTCTTTGAATAAACATACAAGAAAAGTACAATGACTTGAAATTTGGAAACCATGACGAACGAAAATTCCTACATTCAAAGATTTGGACCAAGTGATGGAGATCGAGATGTAGCCCCACCATGGCGATCCACGAGGCTTAACGCGACGACAAGTGGAACAGTACCACCCCCACTAGACACCACCGTGGCTATACCAACGGCAGCAGACATTGTGGCAGTTTTTGGCAAGAACCAAGCCCAAGGCGAATGCATCACCTTGCAACCGCAAGCCCAGGCCCATGCCACCTTGCAATAGCGAGCCCAAACCCACGCCATAAGGGACCCCAACACGGCCCAGTGCGAGCAGGCCCAAGCTATAGCCATAGCTGCCAAACCAGCAACCCAAAACCTGCAAGCCCAAGACGCTGTGCAGGCTCAAGCCTTGCCAAAATGAGCCCAACATCTACGCGCTCCAGCGGCCCAGCTTGCACCTACAGTCCCTATGGTCCAACCCACTTCCATGGCCCATCTAGCAATCCAAACCAGTCCAACACTGGTTTAACCATCTCGACCTCAGATTTATGGACAAACAATTGAACCGGGGGTATTTTCACCCCATTTCCCCGCAGATTTGACATATCCCAACTCAAATCTCACGCCTAGAGTCCATTACACTTCCACTACTCAAGAAGACGCACATCATCCAAGCTCTTCCAATACACATAGCGAACAACACTTATCTCAAGAAGTCATAGAGTTGACAAGTGCCCTCGTGCAGCAGACGAACTTAGTGAATCATCTCATGCAGCTCATCGAGAAACAGTGTTCCCCAAACAAGGTGTCCCAAAGCAAGACAATGGCAAACGACGAACTTCTCCAGCAGTGTCCTGGCAAACAACCCTTCAACTAGCCACGAACCTAGTGTTCTAGCAGTGTACACTCTCGATATGGCCCCCGAGATAGCATATACTCTTGTTTTAGCATGCAGAAAAGCATGCACTCTAGGTTAAGCCCACGGACGAGTATATATTCATGGTTTGGGCCACACTCCGATAATCAACATGAGCAACCTTCCAGGCGAAATGTTTATTCTCAGCTAGGCCCGCAAAGAGCATCCTTCATTTCACATCGAAGTAGGCAACACAACAGATAGAGAGAAGTGGTCACTCAATCCGGCTCAAGTTCAACTGGCAACCTATGAGTAATTCGCTCACCTACTAGGAACGTATCACATGCACTGTAGCCATAACGTAGACGAGCTGAGCACATGAAATAACAGCCTAGACCAGCAGGTCATAACCAGGGGTAGCCAATAGCTCTGCTACCTTAGCAAAAGGAAAATTCAAGAAGAAGTAGAGAGGTTCATGACCGACCGATTATGTAACTTCCAATGCAACGAAGTCACTGACGAGGCGCTACGACAGGACATGATCAGCATAAGTAAGTCACTTTTCACAGATGAGATCGAGCAGGTAGAGCCTCCACACATGTTCAATATGCCATATTTCACATCCTTCAAATGAGATGGAGACCTGGAGAGGCACCTAAAGCACTACCACAACGCGATGATCCTCTATCAAAACAACAACACCCTTATGTGCAAGATATTCGCCACCACTTTACAAGGTGCGGCACAAGATTGGTTTCATACCCTACTACCACAATGCATTTGGAGTTTCGATGAGCTTTCTTTGGTTTTTACCAAGGAATAGTCATTCTATCGCTCGATCAAAAAAAAGTCCGACCACTTGTTTAACGTCAAGAAGAACCCAAAAGAGTCGTTATGCTACTATGTGAAGAGCTTCAAAGCAGAGAAGGTGAAAATAGTCTAATACAACAACTCAATAGCTAGCGCAACCTTCTAAAAATGACTCACAGCGGATCACCCGCTATTCAAAGAATTAACCATGAAAGAAAATCTAACTCTGGTAGACTTATTTGCTCTGGTAAAGAAGCATACACTTTGGGACGAAGCTCGGTGAGCAGACAAGGCACCCGAGCAGCTTTGAAAAGAATCAGTAATAGCTCAAAAGAAGGAGGACGGGAACCAATACAACAACAAAAGCAAGTATGAGGCCAAGTGCAGGTACCGATCCTAGACTAAAAGAGGCCTGACGTCTAGGAACTACTCTAAGTTCTCGATCTTGATCCACCAAATCCTCTGTGACATCAAGAGTGAACCGTGGTTCAAGCTACTGAAACAATCAAAGGAAGATTCCTCCAAGTTGGACCACACCAGGTACTGCGCATTCTATCGAGGTCTCTGTTATATAACCAAAGACTGCTACACTTGGAGGAACTACCTAAAAAAGGTGGTGAAAGAAGGCAAGGTCAACAGATACTTGGACAAGCCAGCTACACAGCCTAGAAGAAACACAGACATCAATGAAGAACCGCCAACCAAGATAATTCATATCAATGGCATTTTCGCCGAGTCTGAGCACTTGAGGGCCACTAACAACTCCAAAAAGAGGAAAATCCAGCAAGCTCTATTAGTCTCTCAGGTTTAGGCAATCAACACCCGACCTAAACCAATCGTTGGCTTCACTAAGCAAGATCTCGAAGGCGTCGACTTCCTACACGACGACACCCAAGTGGTATCTATCCAACTAGC